CCCGGGGCACACACGGTGCGGGTGACCCTGACCCGCAGCACCTTGCGGGTGGAGGTGGAGGCTCACGGCACCAGCGACCTGTGGAGGGGCGAGTTCGATGCCGCCTGTGAGTGCTGGAGGAAGCCTGGGGGGATGAGGGATCTCCCGCGGCTGCCTCTGACTGAAATACCCTCTGCTCCTCGCAGTCATCGAGGACCTGACCCGCAGAACGGGGAATTTCAAGCAGTTTGGCATTTTCTGCAGCATGCTGGAGTCGGCACTGACACAGGTGTGGTCCCACACAGCGTTTTGGGGGTGCCTGGGGTGGGGTGTGTGTCTCACTGAGCCCTCCTGCTTTTCCAACTTTCTGCAGAGCAGCGACTCCGTCAGCCTGGAGCTGCTCACCTTCACCGACCTGGAGACCCTGCACAGCCGGAAAGTGGGGGCAGTCACCCGGCCTTCCCCTTCCACCTCTTCCCCCCTCAACAGCAAGCGCTACCTCATCCTGGTCTACTCTGTGGAGTTCGATAGGTGACAGGGGACACCAGGCAGGGGTCACGGGGGAGTGACTCCAGCCTCACCTCGTACTCTCCTCCAGGATCCATTACCCGCTGCCGCTGCCCTACGCGGGCCGGCCGGACCTCGTGGCGCTGGTGCGGGAGCTGCAGGAGCAGCTGGGGCAGCTCCGGGCGCGGCGCCTGGAGGAGACCCAGCACTTGCGGGATGCGTGAGTGTGGGGCCAGGGCACCCAGAAGGGTTTGGGGGTTCCTGTCTCTCAGGGTGAGGAGGGAATCCCCGGATCACCCCCTAGCATTCCCCACAGGCTGTGGAAGGCACTGGAGGAGAAGCGGGCAGCAGAGAGCCGGCACCAGCGCGAGTACCGGCAGCTGGCTGCAGAGGTGGGCGGGGAGGGTAGGAGCTACTCTGGGGAGGGACAGGGCCTGCCAGATGCACAGTGAGCCTTTTTTCCCCCTCAAAGCTCGCCCAGGCAAAGGCGTCAGAGCAGAAGCTGCAGCTGCGGGTGAAGAACTTGACAGCTGAACTGGCCTCCTGCAGGAGAGGGTGAGGTTGGGGTGAACCCTGCAGGAGGACCCTCATGACCGTGGGGTGTCCCCCTGTCCCCCCTGATGGTGCTGGTCCTCTTGGCAGCCGCCAGCGATCTGCCAGTCCAGCCCCACGCACCCAGGAGCGACGCTCAGCATCCCTGGAGAGCCACAGGAGCAGTCGGGGCCGCCCCTCGCCCAAGGCCCTGTCACCTGCAGGTGTGGGACACTTGGGGACACACCCAGGAGTGGAGACAGGACACAGCTCACCCCCTCCTCACCCTGACCCCTCCTCTGCCTCCCCCTGCCAGGCTCCCGCCCACCACGCTTCGACCCCACTGCCTTTGTCAGGGCCCGGCAGCGCCGGCAGAAGGAGGCTGAGCTCAGAAAGTAAGCGGTGCTGACAGCTCCTCACCATCCCTCCCTGGTACCTGGGGGGTCTCCTTCCCCCTTTAGCCCCATGTTCCCCCTCACCACCATCTCCCTTGGGTGCAGCCAGCGGCGTGGAGTGGCCTCTGGCAGCAGCAGCCCGGCCAGGAGCCACAGGCGCAGCTCGTCTGGTGAGTGGGGAACAGGAACAGGGCTGGGGGTGCACCCACTGTGTGCTGGGGCTCCTTCCTCAACTTCCCCCATCCCCATATTTCCCTGCAGCTGAAAGCTCCCGGAGCTGGCGCCAGGGAGGGAGTCCTGCCAGCAAAGCCCCAGAGCCCGTGCCCTGCAGGTAACGCTGAGGTTGGGCAGCATGCTTGGGCATGGATGGCAGGGCAGGATGCCGGGCAGGATGCTTGGGCACCCCTTCTGGCACCCTTTAACCCTGCTCCTTGGGCAGGGACAGGAGAGTGACCCATGCACGGAGACCCCTGAGTGCCTCACTCTGCAATAGCCCCTGTATGGTGAGTAGCTGCCCCTTTGGGGTTCCCACCCCTCCATCCCAAAGCAGGGTGACCAGGAGGTCACTGGTGACCCCCAACCTCTCCCCCAGGCGCCTCGCCCAGCTGCCAGCCACAAGCTGCCAGTGTGCAGGACTGCTGGCAAGCGCCCTGGTAAAGGTGAGGCCCTTCTGAGCCCTTAGATATTTGAGGGACACCCCAACCCAGACCTTTGTTAACCCTTTTTTCCTGCACTGCCTCCCCAGAGAACCGTTCCAAGGAGCCCTCAGCTGAGCTGGCTGAGATCGATGCCCGACTGCAGGCTCTGCAGGAGTACATGGACAGCCTCAACACCCACATGTGACCCCTCCAGGGACACACACCCTCCTCTCCCTGTGTCCTCTGGAGTTCTGGTACAAGTGTGCCCCCGAATAAACCCTTGTTTGGCCCCAGAGTGTGTCCTTCTTGGGATGGGGTGAGGGCAGTGTCCCCTGGGAGGGACAGAGTGTTGGGGCTGAGGGCACCAGGGACATCACAAGAGGGTGACAGTACCAGTGCTGGGGA